TACGTGGCAATATATTTTTATTGTTTCATAACTCTGTTTGTTGCCTTTGAATTCTCTTACGTACCTAAAATATTTGCCTATTAATTATATGCCTGTATGTGTTTACTTTCATCTTACACCTAAAAGGATTTTGTTATATTTTATCAGCATTTCTTATCTCTTCGGTGTCTATTAGTTTGTGTCTAGACTATTTCATTAATACGAGTATCATCAATAGCGCGTGAGTCCATTGCTAGACCATAAGGCTCCTCTACATTAGACTTTGCCATATTTGCTAAGCGCAATTTTTAAGCTTTAGGTTTATCAAATCCAAACTTGTTGTGTATCTGTGGTATACTCTATGGTCATAGTATAGTCTATGGTGATAGATTATCTATGTGCGTGGCGGAGCCCGCGAATTTGTAAAACAATTGAAGACGAATTAATGTGTGTGTCGATAGCTTTCTCTCTTTTACTTATATTTCGTTTGCTTAAATAACATACTTAACATTGGCGACGAGTTTACCCACACATTTTAATTCCAAAATGAATAGTTTTGGAATTTTGTCCACGTTCGATCATAATGTGCAAGAATGGAAGTCATACAAAGCCCGAATTACGCAATGGTTTATTGAAAATGATATCGTCTCGAAAAATTATGCAGTTGGAGCCAAGAGACGGGCGATCTTGCTCAGCGCACTAAGCGACGGTACTTATAAGTTGGCGGCAGACTTGGCACTGCCGAAGGATATCCAAGAAGTATCGTATGATGAGTTAGTGCAATTATTGGATGAGCATTTTCTCCCAAAGATATGTGGATTCAGCGAGCGTTACAATTTTTATGCGGCTGTGCAGCAGCCGGGTGAGTCGTACACGCAATGGGCGTCCAGGCTGAGAGGACTTACAGCACATTGTAAGTTTAGTAACGTCGAGGAAGCGTTACGAGATCGATTCGTCATGGGCATGGTAGCGGGACATGAACGGGAGAAGCAGTTCACGCAGGACATTCTAGACTATTTCATTAATACGAGTATCATCAATAGGCGTGAGTCCATTGCTGGACCATGAGGCTCCTCTACATAAGACTTTGCCATATTTGCTAAGCGCAATTTTTAAGCTTCAGGTTTATCAAATCCAAACTCAAAAGCATTTATTTCAATTAAACCATTATTTGATACTTTTGAAACGTCAACAAATATCAGAGAGCGCTACCAGCTGCCTGGTGTCAGTGAAACATAAAATTCCTTAGTCATTAATCAGTACCAATAATACGAAGGTAGGTACGTGAATTAGAAACTGAAGTGGACACCCCATTCTTGCCAGCAATAACTCGCAAAAATGAAATATAATGCTTGAGAAAAATAACTCTGACAAAAAAATTATCGTCGCTGTAAAATTAAACGTGAAGCTCATAAATTTTACGGACGACATATAAATCATGATCAAGTTATGGCTAATTTTGAAAAAATTCACCGAGAAATAAATATGAGCTTTAGTCCGTTGCGGTAGAGTTATTTATGCCTTCCTGTGGTCAGACAGGGAAACTTCCTTTTTTAATGTTTATCAACTCTCTTTTTTGCTGAGTGAGCTAATGAAGGATTCAAAAGTTATGTTTGTTTTGGTATACGTGGTTTGTTTGAGATTTTTATTTACTGTCTACATTAAAGAAGTCCTTAAAGATTAATTGTGGTTTTCTGTCGGCAGTGAAAGGCCTAATGGGGATGTTTAACATTATGATCAACATTAGCGCTTGAACTTGTATCACCACTCAAAGGTAGAGAGAGTAAAGTTCCATAAAAAAATGAAGATCCTCCGACGAGACGAGGCGATCGTGTCTGAAATATAGAACTTGTGTCGGCATCCACTGTTTTACTCGTTGATCATCTATGCTCGGCATTTGACTTCTATCATTTGTAACGTGTCGTTGAGAAACTTCAATGTGCATCGCCACACCTCTAGACAAATGGTCAAATATGACTTTTTTGTCATCTTTGGCTCATATCAAACTACAACGATGGCATCGCCATAAAAAATACGTCTAGAAAGACATTGTAATTGTAATGGTATAAAACAGTTTGTTATAGAAAAACTCAACGGCCTAATTCGAAGTCCGAAGTCCAAACAAAATACGTCCTGTTCCTCATTCCTGTACATCAAGTCCACGTCACGTATGACTTAATTAACAAGACAGGAACCAACATAGTTTAACAATTAACACAAACAAACGGATGCAATCGTAAACGATGAACAAAAATAATTTATTATCAAAATCAAATAACACACGTTACAATTTCCTTGCGTGACTCAAAACAGACTATGTTCAGTGTACTTACACATCCGACTTTCTTTTCCCGATCGCCAATTAATGATATGTTAATTTACGACAACATTAACGTATGCAAACATGCAACCTTCACGCTCTAATGATCGCATAAGCGGACATATGAATATTAAACATCAGTATCACTTGAAAATTGAATAGTAATCCGTCAAAAAAATAAAGGAAAGTACGTACCAGTCATCCGAAGCGCGGAATCACAAATAAATTAACAAATCTCGTGAACATACCTTCCATATCCTTCAAGCGGGCGCGCGGTCTTTTGTAACGGGAGCGGGCGCGCGTAACCGAATAGACCTATGGGATGAATAAGACCAAGAAAGCAATAATTATGGGATAATCATTTATTAATTTGTACTAAGATACAATATCATTGTCTTTAAAGAGAAATTTGTCACAACAAGTAATTAAAATTATGAAAAAGAAGCAATTATTAAGTCACCTAAAGTAACTCAAATATTCTTTGGATCAAAATAAAAATTAAGACCCGTTTACATATGTTAGGTTGGTTTATATACGTAGACCAAAAAATAAATAAAAAGTAAGGATAAAACTCTAAAAACTCATTAATTTTGATTTTATTTTCGTCTGAGTCAGTATTCTAGTAATTTTTCAGATTTTGCTACTTCGTTACTTTATCGCGTCCTGTAAAACAGCTATTTATTTCCGAAAGCTACAAATTATTCTCATCTAAATCCGACAAGGATGATATCACATCAGATAGATGTTCTTCTAAAACTATGTGATGAGAAGTTTCAGAGCCTTGGTTGCTAAGCTCTGATTCACTCTCTTCTTCGTCTTCTCTTTGTAATTCCTCGATTACTGTACTTTGCGATAACCATAAACGACTTATTTAAACAAAAAATGCTTTAAAACACCAAAACTCCAAGCTGAATTAGATAATATTGACATGTGTATGTCGCGTTGGGCGTCGCGCGTAACCTATTCGACGACAGGCGCGTGTAGTCTTTTCAACGACTGCGCCAGAGCCTAAACAATTGTAATTTGTGGAGTGTAGAGAGCGCTTCAAGCAACGGAATAGTTTTTATTTTACTCCTAAAAAGATAGTGACAGGCTACTAGAAATTATAAATGCATGTGGCAACTAAAAATAAAAATACGAACGAAAATGTATTAACCGCGGTCGATTCGACTACGCGCGCCCGCTTGAAGGATATATGTACGTAAAATCGTTTGAGAGAAAAGTAAAATGGTCTAATTAAAATTACTGCACGATTCCTTCGCACGCCATATTAGAAATTCATTCGATACTCAACTGTTTCTGAAGATTCATTCGCGACTATTTTTTAAACATTCCAAGCCGCTGATTGGTCAATTAATGACAGTTGTATATCATTCCTATTTTGAAATATATCGTGGTTTAAATGCGAATGTGTTAAAAGGCGTCTATGTAAATGGTTGAATAAAGTTTGTACTACACTTTGATCGCTCAATTATTGTAATTAGGTTTATTAACAGGGTGATTATGTTTGCGTTTCTTTAATTAGAAAATATCACTTTTGTTGGATACTATTCTGTATTATTAGTTTTTATTTTCATTACTACATGCTTTAATCTACATAAAGTAAATTCGTGGTTTTTATTTAAACCTGCAAATAATAAAAACATCAGCCTATTTTTTTCGAGTTATTACAATCATATGCCTTATAATAACGACACCAATCACGCATTTGTACCAAAGCATTTTGAGTGTAGTGATCGTATTGAAATACGGGTTGAGTTCCCAATTTATTCCTAAATCGATCGATCATAGCCAATCATGGCGTCACACAATTTCCTTTAGTATGCATGCATTCATTTCAATTGTTCCTGTATTTGACAGGCTCATACATGTACATTATTAATACCCTATATTGTTGTTTAGTTAACATCAAATTACACGTCTATTGGCCTGTTTCAATAATATGTTTTGTAGACGTTCAATTTACTTTTGGAGAGATCATGTGTCCGATTTAATGAAAAGGATTGTGTTGAAAATAGGTAAGGGTAATTTTTGGATATTCAAGCTTATTATTCGAAGCAAGACTGCCTCGTTGGCCGAGTGGTCGCAAGTGCGACTGCCGGGCAAGGGGTCTCGGGTTCGATTCAAGGGTCGGGCCAAGTATTACTGGGTTTTTAAAAATCTCAGTAGTAGTACGGAGTCTGGAAATGTGCCCGGTATATGACAATAGGTTCACCCCCTATTCTATGGGACTCATAACATAAATAGTGAAAAGTGGGTGTTACATTGCACAGTGGCATTAAGTGCCGTAATGTGCATCTCTGCCTACCCCTTCGAGAATAATAGGCGTGATGTTATGTTATGTTATGTTTTCGAAGCACCGGGTGTCCAAAAATGTGAGTTGGATTTACAGAATTGATTGTATGCCAGATATTTCAGAAATCGTTGGTATGTAAGACACTATAAGAGTACTGACAGGGTCGCTGTGTATGGACGTAGATCTCCCTAGGAATCTATAGTCGACGAAGCCCCGCTTCGTGGAGCTCCTATTTCTGTCTCCAGGATTTAAATTAACGTATAGCATACTGGAACTATATTCGTGATCTATTCTAGGGGACCTTGTTCCCGCTTATGATGATTATTGAATATGTTTTAGAATTGCAAGTGGAGTACTTCTGAGCATATATAGTTTAGTCAATTATAATAATCATGAAGTACTTACGTAGACCCAACTTGTGGACCGCTTTCTTATCATCAGGTTTCTCTTCTTCATTCTTGCTGCTCGATTTTTTCGCGTTCGGATCCGAAACGTCTGGAAAAATTTAATAAAGGTATTAATTCATTGGTATAACAGAGACAATATAATAATTTTCTTCTATGTATGTTTAATTAAACTAACCTTTAAAAAAATATACCTCTATATTAAAATATTTTTTCCGTAGGTTATTAATTTATAGAAAAAATACTGACAAAAGCAAGCATTAGGTAGTAAATTTGGAAAACATTTAAATGTATATAACTTAATATAACTACAAAGCAAAGTAAGTGAGTAAGAATTAATCGCAATAGAAATCCCTGCACAACTTGTAGGTGAAGAAAAATTAATCAAAAGTTTGCGCGGACCTTTAAAAAAAATTAGCAATTTTCTATACTAATCCTACTAATAAAAATCAATCATAAAGACTCCCGTCGAGCCTGGATAGTGTTTAAAAATCTCATTAATCAACCTCGCTACTGAAACCAATGTATTTTCAAAAATGTTTTATCTCCTAAAGTCCATTCCATTAACAAAGACTTATAAATAAATTAGGTACCATTACTTAAAACAACTCACAGCACATACTAAAAAAGATAAAAAAATATTTAAAAAGAGAAAAATAAGTATTTTTTATACAACGAAAAATAATATTTGAACCACAGAACTACATTTGTCATATTTATCTGAAATTTGTAACTACATGGACGATTGTTGTACAAATTAAATAATAAAACCAGAGAGCTTGCGTTTAGTTTATACACTAGGGTTCTGTACATAAATTACGCTGACGGATAAACAGTGTGGAATAAATAAACAATTACCAGTATTAAAATTAGACTAAAAATAATATTATACTTTTTTATTTAGATAAGACGTTGCCCCACACTAGAATTTTCTTCTATGTCGTAGGTGCGTTTACAAACATATGACACCTAGACCCGGAACAATAATCTGTGGATCACACAAAGAGTTGTTCCGTGCGGGAATTGAGCCCGCGACACGTTGCGCGGCAGTCAGTTGTCCAACCACCACGCCATCGCGTAATCAAATCGTTTGAATATCGCCCTTAAGGTGATTAAAGACTTGTCTATATTAAATTTGTTATTAAACCAATTTAAGTTTAATAATTTTTTAAGCCTCGAGCATCTCAAAAGTACTTATTAAAAAAAAATCTATTTTGTTATAACGGTTATAACACCATGTCTGTTTTTGTATATATTTAAAATGATTTAAACCCTAATTTGTCAACCTTAACGTAACAATTATATTTTAATTTAAATCACAAAACGAAACTCATTAATGTCTACAGCGTCCAAATATTGTGGGCGAGGAACTCTAAAACAATCACGATGTTTATAAAAAAGTTGTATAGAAGACTGTCACAATGATTTATGTGGTTTTAGTGAAGGACTAAGCAGTATTGTGTATAGCTATACAATAATAATAAATCGGTAATAACAACACATAAATTACTAATAATATAATATATTGCGACTGAAAATAACAGGTTTTTCTAGAAAAATATTATAACCAACCTCAATTGTTTTTTAGATTTATAGTCGGTACATAAAAATCTAAAATTGTTTCTTTAGTTTAATAGTTAATAAGTAATAGCTTAGTAATAAAATTAATAAACTAATAAATAAATTAATACATAATATATTATAATTATATTTATTTGTGTATATCTTTGAAATATACTAGTTTATCTTTCATTTGTTAAATCATTGCTTGCCTCTTGCACCTACCATTTACTATTCTCTGCATCACCCAAAGGTCAGACTGGTAGGAAATGCCGACGCATTTGAACATTTTTGCATGAAGCATAAAATAAATTAAATAAATAAATCACTGTCCTCGGTTTACCTAATTATAATTATCAGACATAGTTGACTCTTAAAGTTTACATTACACCTTATTTGGAGCCTAAGCTCTTTATATCCTGAGATTGGGGGCATCCCTTTTCTATATTGGAAATGGGTCAACGCTTGGCCACTATCTGGTCTGATGGTAAGCGATGGCCTATGATGAAGCATGTCTACATAAACAACCTATTCACTTGGGCCTAAAAGACACCTGGTTCATCAGATCGCATCGATAGCCTATAAGAAGCACAGTTGACCACAAGCCCCTTCTCACATGGAGAAGGTTTGAGCATTAACCACCACGCTTGCTCAATGCGGGTACCCAGATTATACCTTTTGGTAAAAGTAGACACTGGTAAAGAATTCCACTCCTTAGTTGTTCTATATATGAAACGATATCCACCATATAAAGCAGAAGCGCTTTTCCGTTTGTCTGGTGGTGTGATGATGGAAAGATCTTGGAGGAAATAAATCTCCAATTATTAATTAATAAGCTTTCTGAATGATAAAATTGCAAGCAGTATCTACAAGCGTAAGGGCAAATACTTTCTTACTGCTGAAAATATTTACCTGGCTTGGAGCTAGAATCCAGGCCCTCTTGCTCGGGAGTTGATCTAGCGACCACTGAACAAAAGAGCAATATTTTATTTATAACGAAATAACAATAATATCGTGTGGTAAGCGTGTCATTTGTAAGCGTTAAAATTATGTCTATACAGTCATTAATAAAAGAAAATAAAAGAATATTATTTACTTAAAGCATAGACTGCCTCGTTGGCCTAGTGTACGCAAGTGCGACTGCCGGGCAAGGGGTATTAGGTTCGATTCTCGAGTCAGGCAAAGTATTACTGGGATTAAACTGTCAAACACCGAGCGCTCACCGGTGACCGCAACTTATTGTTCTTTAATTGTGTCTATAATGACGGTACTCAGCGAGTTAAAAAAATCTCAATAGTAGCACGGAGTCAAGAATTGTGCTCGTTAAATGGCAATAGGTTCACCCCGTTTTACATGAGGCGCATAATATAAATAGTGAAAAGTAGGTGTAACATTGTACAGTGGCAATTCTGTGCCGTAATTTACACCTCTGCCTACCCCTTCGAGGATAAAAATGTTGTAGAGTATGTTACAAAAATATAACATACTCTACAACATGTCAAATTATTTTTTTTTGTAATAATTTGTTTCAAAAAAAAATTTAATGTTAAGTCAGTCTTTTTTTGATTGGGGTCACCTCGTAGACATATAGAAAAATTAATATTCTGTCGATGCAGTTAAAATTCACACCAAAAAATACAGCACAGTTGTATAAATACGCCGTTTTAATTTAAACGGAACAAACATGTTAATAAAGTCAGTTTTTCCGTGATGAAAATAAATATTGTACCAAATAAAAAAAAATTGATGCTACTAATATTATAGTTATATATCTGTGTGTTTGTTACTCTTTCAGGTCAAAACGGCTGAAGGTTTTTCTTTATGGGGGGAAAGCCATCGAATGACTGCTCCCGCCTAAGGTGAGGCGGGAGGGAGTGTCAGACTCTTACTGACTAAAAACCACCCCGTTCCTATTCCTGGCCTTTGAACCGGAGCCCTAGCAACCCGTTAAGTCCGGATCCGTATCAGCATCAGCCCTATTGGGCCCTATCCGTGGTGGTCTGATGGTTCTTTGGGCGCCGTAGGCTCGGGTCTGATTTTGGTCGGGCGGCGAGCTACCCATGCTCACCATGCGCAGTCCCGTGCTTACGGTGGCCAGCTGAAGATTTGGCGATGAAATTTAGGACGGGGGTATATTATGGTCTGGAATAACACATAGGCTACTTTTCATCCTATGAGAACGCGGGTGAAACCGCTGACAGAAGTTAGCAAGGTCATAATGGAAAGTCGTCTTTGAGGTATCGTAAATAGACTTTACAAAAGGGAAGGCTCACAATTCGAAGAATGTTTGTCTCATTTTTGTAAACAAAAACATTTTGGCATAAGATGTAAACAACCCCAAATAAAACAATGACATTTATAAGGACAAAGGGATGAAAACAAACCCAATCTTTATTATCAATACATTATCCGACTTAATCCGTTGCCGCCTGGGCGATCATGTAGGTCAAACCCTATGTTCAAAGGTCAGGTTAACCCATTAATGTTTAAATATTTAAATGTCACGACGCCACCTTTGTTAATTAACCCTAATCTAGAAAATGTCAGAGACAGCAAAGATGTTCTAAGAATATTTTCATCGAAATCTTTTAAATGTTTTTTTTTAACGACTGCCTCCTGAAATTATTTGTCAAGGTGGCGGTTGAATTGGAAGTGTTTTATTTAATCTTGGAATCAATCTTAGTTACTTAATCTCGCAGTCTGAAAAATTGTACAATTGTATTTTTGAGGAGGGAAAACAATTCAATGACTTCTCTCGCCCGGCTGAGGCGAGAATTAGTGTCAGATTCTTACTGACTTAGCTACACTTAGCTTGTCTTATTAGAGTTACATAAAAATATCACATAATAAATATATAGATAGGTAGACTGAGAATGACACGCAAAATCCTTTAATGTTTTTTTTTTAATATAAACATTCTGCGATATATTTTAAGTTTATAGTATCTGCTATATTGATTCCAATATTTATAGTATTGCCTTACACAATTACACTTCTTATTCGATTTGAAAATATTGAACATTTTATGTACTACCTACCAAATAAATAAAAGAAACAGTTATTCAGAAATACAAACGCTGAACAATGGAATAGCAACCCTCCAATACTAATATTAAATTTTAATTTAGTAGTTTAATTTCGTTAGGTTATTATAACTATCATTTGAACAATTTAATTAAAACGATATTGTTCGTAGTTGTACCTAGAAATAATTATTGTAACTCCATTATTTCAGAATAATATTATTAAATATATATAATTATGTATGTAAGTTGTTGTCTCGGGTTCGATTCCCGGGTCGGGAAAAGTATTACTGGGATTTTCAAATTCTCAGTAGTAGCACGGAGTCTGGAGTTGTGCCCGATATATGGCAATAAGCTCACCCCTGTTACATGGAACTCATGACATAAATAGTGAAAAGTGGGTGTAACATTGTACAGTGGCATTAAGTGCCGTAATGTACACCCCTATCCCTTCGGGGATAAAAGGCGTGATGTTATGTGTTTTTTTTTTCTTCTTGTCTTGTAGTCT